TAGCATTTTATTTAATTCATGTTTAATTTACAATATATTCTTATATTATTTAATTATTTTTCAGTCAAAACATTGGGAAAGGATTTTCTGGTTTAATGTTTATCACTAATTTAATGACAATTTACAAACAAATGTCAATCATTTTTAATAGTAATAATAATTAAAATCATAATTATTGAAAGATAATTGCTTTTTAGATAGGATTTGACCTCTTTTTCATACAAAGATATTATAATTTTGTGTCATTTTTACACCAAAAAATCAATACATTCTCACCATTTATAGCATAAATGCAATGTTAATATTCACATAATTGTTGAATAATATGTAAATTAACAGTAATAGGCTATTAGTTGACATACAAATAGAGGCCAAAAAATGTCATTTAAAATGTTTGTTTCGCTGAGAAAAAATCGATGTGTTTGTAATTTTTACACAAAAAACAATTTAAATCAATTATTTGTTAAATTAATTTGTTTTTGGATAACAATTAAAATATATGTGACAATGGATTTCAATATATTTATATATTTGTAAAGGGATCACAAAAATGCAATTAAATCCTAATCTAATGTTTACTTTTAATTCTGGGCTCAAATTTACATAAACTTATTCTTAAAAACTTTGTTTAGATTCTGATTATATTGAAAGTGCACTTAAATGTGAAACTCATTTAACGGCAAAACAAGTGATTGCAGGAGATATAGAACCTCTCATTGAAACACAAATCATCTATTATTATGATATTTATATTATCAATATTTATGAATAATTAAAATTATGAAAACAAATGTCAGTATTAACTCCAAAATAAATTTTATAAGTTATTCACTAATAGCTAATTGTAATCAACAAAACCTTTGCGATTCATTGAAATTACGTTTAGTTATCAATTGGTCGTATAATATAATATCAAATTGAGTTCACATTTCTATTACAGTTATTCACTGTATAATGAATTCATAATATATTTACAATTGATTTTATGAGAAGTCACTCGTGTTTTATTTATAACCATATCATTAAACTCTTTCCCAAATATTTGCAAAAATATGTCTAACATTGAAATAAAAGGATAAAATTGGCAACAAATACAGTCTAATGACAAGAAATGGTAATTCAGAATACGATCAATGATTAAATGCACGAAACATAAGCCAATCATTTGGTATCATTTTGTTCACCACTACTACTACTAACCGACTGATCGACGAACACGTCGTCACTCGCCATATGATCGCCGTTCCGCTGGTCGTCGGTGTCCTCCGTGTCGGCCGAATGGGACGACTGTTGGGGATCGGCGTCCGTCTGCCTGTCCTGACCATCGTCTTCGTCGTCGTCCTCCTGTTCGAGCAGTTTTCGGGCCAACTTCACGGCCTGGAACTCATTGTAATGCATCTTTCGCTTCACTTCAAACTCTTTCCGCTTCTTCTTCTCCTCTTCGGTCAGGTTTTCAAAGTCTTCCTCCGACTCGTTGTCGGACTCCTTCAAAACGGCGGGCAATTCGGCCGCTCTCTCGGCAAACCTGGCGGCCAACGCGTCCGCGTCGAGTGCGTGGAGGTCTAGATCGCCATCCGTTGTGTCGTTATAGTAATTGTATGGCGTCTTCGGCTCCTCTATCTTCATGTGTCCGTAGTCTTTGTCCGCCGGATGTAAAGTCTGTAAAATATTCATTTCATCCCATTTGATGTCTTTGTCGGTCGACTGCTCTCTATGTGTGGACACAAACAAAGTGTTAGTCATTTGGTTAAAACGCAAACCACTTGTGGGACAACACAAGTGTAAACATCAATGAAATTACTGTTTGGGTTGTGTTTGGCATTCATTTTGCTGTTCAAAACTCGACGACGACTTCAATATGCCTTTCGACGGCTTCTTCTGCAGATTCTCCATCACTTGTGGCGGCGATTGTCCGCAATGTCCGCAACACAACACTCCCACCACTCTCTCAACGCCCGCACAACACGTCTATCACAACAAACAACACACTTATCAACAAATGAGTGGCAAAACACTAGCGATCGATATATTGATTGTTATATTAATGAATGGATGACTGAAGTGATAATCATATGAATAAATGAGCGCTAAATTGAATGTACGCTCAAAACGAGTCCTCTCTCTATGCGTTCACTCTCTCAACACTGTCTTCACTGTCTGTTTGGCCGTCAATACGATCGCCGTTAACGACAAGACATTACTTATTCACACATCATATTATGTAAACAACTCCTCATTAATAACGTGACACCAAAAACATTGCCCAATAAATAGTCCCCCAATTGAGTCAAACCATTGATTAGTGAACACATTCTTAGCCCCTATTCTCCACTCAACGCCCGTTTTGTGCGATAATGTCGTCAATGAGTTATGCGTTGAATAAATAATAAATATGTAATTATTAACAGTTAAACCCATTAATCAAAACTATTTACATTTATTTTAAAGTCAACACATATTGACGTCAATTATATTTACATATATTTTTGACTAAAAGTAAATTATAACAAAATTTTTAAACATTAAATTTGCGGAAATAAGTGTTAAAAAATTCCTATAATTATAAATTTATATAAAAATTAAATCCATTTAATTATTAATTAAAAATCATTACAAATGTAAAAGTTGTGTAAAACTCTTTGCGGACGTAATTTGTGTGAAAAACTGTTTGTCTGTATTTGAGGACCAATTGAATTGGTTTTCAAAATGTATTCATATTTTGAACCTCACATACAGTCGACTCTCTCTCATAACAACTGTTTTGGTATTTAATTTAATTAATTGTTATTTTCATTGCTTTAAATCAATTGTATTTCACTGCAAAACACATCATATTTTTGGGTAAATATAATTAATTTAAAACTTAATATTTAATTAGCATTGAATGAAACCATTTGTGTGTTTAGTATGTATTGTATGTAAACGTCATTCATATAAACAAAACGTTTGAATTGTTTTTATTTGTTTTTTACACACTTTTAATTGAATATCGATTTTAATAGTAATTAATTCATAAATTATTTGCATTTCATTTCGTGTTGTCGTCTCTCAAGTGATGTCCGATGAAAGTGACGATAAGAGTCATCAGGAGTTGAGCTCATCTGAAACTCAGACACCGATTGGCGATAATTGTGGCGACGATTATGGCTGCGAAGAGCTGTCACTGCAAACGCTTCCATCGCTTCTTCAGAGTCACTGTTCGTTTCCGACGGAACTCTTCTACACTTTGAGTCCAATCTCTTTGTCGCGAATCGCTTCCGAGTCGACGCCTATTGTCAATAGAAGCGAACCAATCGGTGGCGAAGACAGACACCAAAGACTCACTCTTTTGCGGACAATTGATATCCAAACAA